TTTACGGTTGACGTCATGATCTCACATGATGGCAGCAAAAGCTCGAGAGCCTTAAATGATCTCAAATATTTTTTATTGTTACGGATAAATCCTTAATTATAAGTTTTGTGTTATCTTCGTTGAAACTATTACTTTAAAACTTCGTTACCCGACTTATTTTCAGTTTTTATTATAAATAAACAGTTAATGATAAACAATAGTTTTATCTTATAGAAGAGGCACTATAAAAGCTGATTTCGTCCGTTTTTCGCGAATCGTTTCGGTTCCGTCCTAAATATTTGAAATATAAACATCTACGTAATCTTAATGGTTCAATTTGGCGGAGAAAACTGCTTTGCAATTAAGATATGTCTAATCACGGCCGAGACACCTGTTGGCGTTCTAGTACTGTATAGAGTATAAAAGTCTCACCTTTACTTTCATTTCACCCCCCCGGCTCCCTTGGCCACCCCCCGGCCCCCCGGCCATCCCGGTCCCCCGGCCACCCCCCGGCCACCCCCGGCCCACTCCTACTACCTGTGCGTTTCCTAGATACACGCGCCATTCATCCGCTTTCGCTCTTCATTCAAATCCGCGCACAGTCGAGCCAGTCGCTCTACAATCGCGTCATCGATCGTAAACGTCGAAACAAAATTCGGAGCTGTATAGTTCGTATAAACAGAAGAAGAAGAAAAAGTTGGCGGGCTCTATTGAAGATCGCTGGTCGTATCGTGCAAGCAAGAGCAAGACACGTCGAAGGATGAATGAAGGTATATATGACCTCTATTAAGTTGGACCTCCCACCAGCGCAAATCAAGTGCTAATTAAGTGCTCTAAAATAACGATAAAATATTGACAGCGCTCTATAATTCGTTACTGAATCGTCAAAGAGTTACGTGCTTGCGTGATTATGGTCCCAAAATAATCCCGAGACGTTGTATTTTAAGAAAATATTACGATTTAAATTTAATCCTAGCTGTATATAGTGTTGAAATTAATTAATTTATCCATGGAGCGCGCGCGCAGCGCTCTATAATTCGTTACTGAATCGTCAAAGAATTAGGTGTTTGTGTGATTATGGTCCCAAAATAATCCTAAGACATTGTACTTTAAGAAAATATCACGATTCGAATTTAGTGCTAGCTGCATAGGGTTGAAATTAATTAATTAACTCATGGAGCGTGCGCGCAGCGCTCTATAATTCGTTACTGAATCGTCAAAGAATTAGGTGCTTGCCTGATTATGGTCCCAAAATAATCCTGAGACATTGTACTTTAAGAAAATATCACGATCCGAATTTAGTGTTAGCTGCATCGCGTTGAAATTAATTAATTTATCCGCAAAGCGCGCGCGCCGCGATTAATTAATTTCAACGCTATGCAACTAGCACTAAATTCAAATCGTGATATTCTTTTAAAGTACAATGTCTGAGAATTATTTTAATATATTATAATCATGCGAGGAATTCGTAGACGATCAGGTGACGGAACTTAGTGCTCAGCGCCAACGGCCTGAGTCTAAGTTAATTATCGTTATTGTTTTACTGTTAGCAATATACTCAGATTTGATAACATTTTGATATTATATATTTTCGATCATTTTAGTAATATATTTATGCAGCAAATTTTTTAAGTGTTTGTGTCGACCGCGACGGTAATATATAGTCCCAGATAGCACACAATATTCTATGAATATTTTTACAAAGTGTGAATGTTTTTAATTTTGGAATATTCGAATAGAATATAATATAAAAATATACGTAAAATATATTACAATAAAAAATCGTATATTTATAATAAAAAAGAACATTTTTAGAATATTCGTTGAGTTTATTTATTGCACATTTTAAGTTAGGTTGCCATATTCGTAGTGAGCGCCACTCTTTGTCGTTCGTCGTCATGCTTCGCCGTGCCTTTTTGCCGTGCTGGTACGTGCATAATAAAACATCGTTTTTGGACCGATATCATGATTAACGTGATCCTCCGATTAAACTTATTCTGCATCTCTTTCTAACTGTCCCCCCTAGAAAGACACGAAGAGTGAGTTTAATCGGAGGATCACGTTAATCGGAGACTGTGATATCGGCCCTTAATCAGAGATAATTATCTTTTTTCCTTTATTCTGTTCTATGAAACATTAAATAAGGTTTAAGAATATTTTTTTATATATTTTTGGTAATATTTTTCACATCCTTAACAGTTCGTTAGGATAAAACTCTTTAGAAAATTTAAGGGTTGTGCTTGAAGAAAGTCGCACAAGTCGATATCTATATGCCTCAAGGGCATCACATGTTCGTATATATCGCGTTCCATTTAATGCGGCAGCCTATTGCGTCGGGCATTTTTAGTGTATTACTGGACTTTAATTGGGTTACTTTCTCGCGTTTATAGTCGAGCAGTCAGTTTTTAAAAGAGTGTCGTCGAAGTACATATCGCTTATCTCGAACGCACATGTTCGTCCAAAATAAGTTATTGTCACCACCAAGTGCAAATTTCGTTTGTCCGCCCTTCCTTAATATTCCTGACGTCACCGAGGTTTCTGATGGTATATCAGATAACCTCTCCGCTTTAAACCAACATAAACAACTTACATTTCTTTTCTTATTTTTATTTTTATTCTTATGCTAAATTCTTTTTGCCGGAAGTCTTTATATTGCAGCGTTAAATAAGGAAAAGCCTTATTAATATATCTGCATCTCCAGATAATTATATTTTGTGATATTTCCTGCGCACACAGAGTACACGAAGATTGAGATACGAAACACATATATTATATAGAGCAAGTACAAATCAAAAACTTTCATACTAGTTTCATTTCTTATTCTTTCATTGTTATGTACACATGTAATTGTCAGAAAAAATCCTATATTATTCTTCTGCAGTTTGAAAAAATCTTTCTGTTTTATTTTAAATTTAACTTACTTGAATTTCTTTTTTCGATTTCAAATTATATGCTAGCCTTATATTGCATTATAATAATATTTTGCATATAAATTATAAATAGTATTGTAAATAAGAATGCCTAAATGCAAAAAAATTAAAATAAAAAAAATAAACTCTAAATTAATTAAATTTGTGTATTTATTAATTACATATATATAAACCAGTTCTTTAATATATCTACATATTCCAATAATCACAGTTGTTCTAAAAAACATGGAGTTGTCCATTTTCAAAAGCAGTTAAGTTCATCTTTTTTATAAGGAAGACGAAAATTAAATAAAATACAATAGAAATTGATAATGTATAAGTGTTAAAATTAAGAAACCGATAATATCAGTTAAGTGAAATAGATGAAATTAACACTCTAACATTCTCATGTTGTATTATTTAATACAACTATCTAATTTTTTGTTTTTCTTGTAAAAAAGGTGAAATTAATTTAGCTGTTTTGGAAAATAAAAACTTATATGGTCATAAAATAGAGGTAAACAATACATACAGCTGTTGGCCACTCTACAATGCAATGATTGGCCATATCTTAAAAAATTAAAGATTATAAAGAAATACTATTAAAATGTTTAAAAGTGTTTCTCTTAAAAGTGTATTAAATATTTTGTATTTATAATAAAAAACATTTTACTAATATTTCTTTTATAATCCTTAATTTTTTAAGATGTGGCCAATCATTGTAGAGTGGCCAGCAACTGTACTGTTTACCCCTATTTATTTTATGTGTTATGTAAATATATAGGATGATCTATAAAATATTCTGTGAAATATCCTATGCACATTTATAAAACATTTTATTAAAATGCTTATAGAATATTCTAGCTATAAATATATGCATACAATATTATATAGAATATTCGATAGATTATAGAAATGTTTAGTGCTATCTGGGGTGGTATATTTAAATAAATGTTATAATCTGTCAATATTTTAGAACACTTAATTAGCACTTAATAAGGATTAAATTATAGTGTACTTGTTTTCTTTGTAGGACCAGCTTAATGACAAGCTGGATCCCCCTTTTTTTTACGCGATTTTCTACTAAACGGTTCGAGCACCACAATTCGGACTAGGGCACTTAATTAGCACCTAATTAGCAATAAATTGTTTACCTAGTGCGAACTTAATTTGCGCTGGTGGGGGGTCCTGCGTCGCTTGCTGTGACAATTACTGATACGGAAGTTAGAGCATAAACGGACATTTCTACAAAAATTCTAAATTTTCTTAAAAAAGAACCGCTTTACCGATTATCAAATTCAATCCCAACCTTCCTTATTACATAATACTCAATTGATTAAAAAAAGAAAATGCATCCCAATATCTAAAAAATTACGGAAGTTAGAGCATAAACGTTTTTCTGTTACAGAATCCAACAACGGCACCGTCGTCGTCACACAATATTCCGAGGGGGAGAAGTATCCCTCCGGTTTATATGTGTATTGGACCATATTAGGAATAATTTTATTCCTAATATGTGCCGGTGCACGATATGTTTGGCATATACGACAACGATGTATACGTCTAACATATCGACGACGACCCTCGACGGTGCCGGAGCCACCGGAGCCGCCAGAGATTCCGCCGGAGTCGCCGGAGACCCCCCCACCGCCCTATCAAATTTTTGCTCCGCCTTCGTACAGTCGCGCAATGGAAGGTACATAAAATCATCAGGAAATATAATATGTCTTGACAATTTAAGAACACCAATATCTTTTGTGCGGATGACCTAACCACATTTAATGAAATATATTATTATAATCCAAATTACTATCTTGATTACGCAAATATCTCGTGCGACTAATGCCAATAATTAATTTTATTAACAGGTGGTTGCGCAACGTTGCACTCTGATTACGGCAGTCATGGCAAAAGATTCGATTCGCCTTTTGAACTGCATACTTTACAAGACCATGCCACATACCATCAGTCAGTATTGCAAGAAACACCATCACCGAGTATAGGGGAGAGTGGGGCCGGGAATTGAGAACGGCGGCAAGAGCTCCGGTAACTTAGCATAATTTAACATCTATAAAACTGCCATATGAATACGGGCCCATCGGCAGAAAATCGCGAAAAGATCAAGAAACATGGTGGTCCGTGATTCCTGTCTTTTTGCGCCGTCATCATTTCAACGAGAGACCGAGTGAGATTAGATTAAGGTAATTAATGTAGAATTCTATATACTAATGTTTTGAGCAGAACGTTCTTTGATTTCTAATAGCGTTTTTCACTGGCAGAGCTGGTGCGCATTTAGTGCACTGCACATTAAAGCCGTCGTACACAAATCAACGTAATGTGTATGCTTAGTATAAACAGATTAAATCATAATTGCATTATTTGATAAAAAATGTACTGCGTATTTTATCAGTCGAAATATTTGCATTTTACTTTGAATATTAGAGATTAAATCAGTGTACAACAGCTTTAATGTGCACTGAGTGCGTACCAGCTCTGCCAGTGAAAAACGCTATAAGAGGATTTATATTTTATTTTTTCTTGCATAGATAAACAGAATGTTATCGGAAAATCATCTAAGCATTTTGAGAAGAATCTTCGGAAAGATGAACGTAGAAACCAATTGTTGCAATTAAGAAGAAAGAAGCGCGAGCAAGTATTTGCGCAGAAGACAAATCTCGGTGGTTTTTCTTCGTCACCTGTTCTTGTCTGCGTATTATAAAGGAATTTTTTTATATATATATTCCTTTATAATTTATGTTACAGGTAGATTTTGGAAATTGCGCAGTCTAATCAACATCGCGTATTTCAAATTCGACATCGATGACATCTCCGGAGAGTTAGATGCAAAGAGACCGGTACCTTTCTGCTTGACGCCCAATATCTTCGAATTTCTCACAACTATAGGTCAGTCAGACACAATCTTAATCTTCTCGTCTGTCGACGTGAAAATAAAGATATATCTTGATATAGACATCCCTTGTGCTTGGATAAATTCAAATGTTATATAGAAATACTTGTAGTAAATCCGATATTCATTACTGTGCAGACCGTTGCCAAATTCTTTCAGGTTTCACGATGTTAATTCTTTTACAGGAGTTTGCGGACCATTGACCGCTAGCGCGATCGCCACAGCGCGCTGTTTGGTTCAGCCTACGTTCCAGCTGCATGCTATACTTCGCACAATTTTGCGGGATGAAGTGATCGCGGACCATAAACGGCAAGAAGACGCCGAGGGCACATCACAAGAGCCGACCGATCTAAAGGGTGAACTTCTGATAAAGATGGTGAACCACGCGGTCAACGCGATTGTCGGTAGACTAAATTCTCTCGCGAATTTCGACGGCATTGACAGTAAGGTCAGCACACTAGTAGCCGCTGCCAATAGCCATGACAATCTCTGCAGAATGGATCCCTCGTGGCACCCATGGCTGTAAGATACAGAACGTTTGGCCTAACAACACATTTGTGCTATAACGAGAAAAGGATTAAAATCATTATCGCATTATTCATTTTATTTTCTTGCCCATATACGTTCTTATATTTTATAACACTGACGCTAGCTTTCAGGAAGTTATTGAAAAATGAAAGATGATAAAGAGAAGTTAGACGCTAGAAAAGTATTATTTATAATCTATACATATATATAAATATATGAATATACGTAGTTTATATGCATTATAACATTAATTTTGTACAACGTAAATCGAAACTATTTGTAAACTGCGAATTTAATTCTATTCTCTAACTCTTACTCTGTATATGTATTATATTGCTTATAGATTCGGTTTCACTATATATAAACATACTGTTTGCTAATGCATAGCACTTCAATGTAACGTAAAGCTCCAGTTCGAGTTCCCAGTAAGTAAACTATATTTTAAGAAACTTGTGCAGATAATTTGTAAGAATAGTTCTTGCTAAGAAGTGGAATATAGACCTGAGATACATATAGTACTTATTTATTGTAAAAGACATGAACATTAGGATCTATATGAAAATTGTATGAAATAATAGAGTTCTTAAAAAAAAAATGACGTTTTGTTACTTCAAATAGAACAAATCTATAATTTTTACAGTAAAACACTTCCCACAAGTGAGAAACGGAAGCATACATTGAAGAAGTAGGTTTTTTTTCAAGAGAATTCTACTAGGAAACGTATATTCACGTATGAATACGAGAATTCTCTTCAATTTTATGTAAATTCAATCAGGTTGAAGCTTATATTCTTATAAAATAATATATATTCTTAATGATCACACATAAATAATCTTTATTTATAAAAATACAACTTATTTAAATTTCAGTTCTTTAAACGCAAACATAATGCATATCATGAAACACTGTATCATGTTTTTAAGTGATCACATTTAGGTATGTATGAAGAAGTGGAGCTTGATTGGCCTTGAGTGGTCGTGGAACTGTAGCCGCTGTATCCACTGGATTTGTGAATTGTCACGATTGGCGGTGGTGTTGGTTTCAGTGGTTGCTCGATAAACCTTCGATCTTTGAGCAAAATCACTTGTTATGAGACAACGACACAATACGTTTGCATATATGTGATCTTGTCATAAAGTTCACGAGAGTTGCGTTTTATTACAAAACACAAGCTATAAAAACATTAAAAAATAAATGGAAAAGCTAATCCAATATGAAGTGCGAATGCAGGATAAAAAGAACGAGTATAGTTATGTGTGTAATAATCTAAAGAAATTGTTATTTTTGGAATAAGTCTTGATAAATAGAAAATTTTACAGTTATTTCTATCTGAATAATATAAAAGAATTATGAAATATTTTGTATACAGCTAATATGATAGCTGGTTTTACATATTTATAAAAAGCATACTAATAGGAAAAGCTTGACAAACACAAAGACAAAATCTAGTGTCTATTGTCTAATGCAACACTGCTTTTAATGACAGAGGAAGAGGATGGCAAACAGGGTACACTCTTACAGCTCTACCTCCGGAATGTAGAAGGTCGTGTACTAATTTTACTTGCTCCTTCGTTTCTCCAGTGCCTACAAACAAACACTCAATGAGGTCTGTTTCGTTAGCAAATTAAATATAAATTATACAGATAATATCATCGCCCTTATCAAATAAATTGGTAAGTTCAGAAAACGTAAATGAATCTTAATTTAAATAAGATCTATTTTAAATACTCAAAATAAACTTTATAATTTATAAAATAAAATTACTTTTATTCTTAGTCAATTAAAAATTTGTTCGCAACACAATAATCTCATTTTTTAAAGTAATTTATCTAAAAGTATCAATTCTATTTTTTTGTTACAATTAATTTAAATTATTCGCGATAGTAGTGTATTTATTGTGTTCAACTCCGTGAAATAATCTTTCATCCTTCAATGTAATATCTTTTTTTACTCAGTATTTAATAACTTATTCATCTCATACCTTCTACGATGACCACGCAACTAGTTTCATCCTTGCCGTGCTTGTTGGAAGCTACACAACGATATTTGCCGCTATCCTCCGGTTTGCAGTCAACGATCTCCATCGTGACGACGCCGTCGGCATTGCTCATGGGATAATTATACTTGGACAATTCCTCTCTGTCCTTATACCATTTCACGGTGGACATTGGATTACCGTTCAGACAGCAGAGCAGCTTGCAAGTCTGTCTGATCTGGATGACACGTGGTCGTAGCAGGAAGGTGAAGCTCGGTGCCGACTTAATCGTCTCCAGCCACACGTTGTAACCAAGCGGTTCTCGTCTGTGTACAGGATGCAACTCGGGCCTATACTTCGGAATTTCTCTCGGTAGTGCTGAAAGAATGAAATGAAAGGATCATATACATAGAAATATTTATTTCTTAGATTTATAAAGCAGTTAAGAAATGAAAATGTTGATCGATATTTAGCATTGATTAGACAGCCTAAATATAATTAGATAATTCATCAAAGTATAAATTAGATATAGAATAAATTACAGCTATCTGAAAGTATCTAAAGATGTTACAAATATTAAGCTACGTTAAAAATTATAATTTTCTCAGAGTAACGCTATGTAATCGCAAACGTGTATAAAATTCTAAAACGCTTACGTTGTACATTAAGGAAAACGACCTCCTCACGGTAGCCATAATGATTCTCCGCGCGTATAATATATTCTTCTCTGTCTTCCAACTTGACTCTGTTAATAATGAAGGTGTAATCGTCGCCGTGGTACCGCTTCATGAATTTGACGGATTCCCGTGGCTCCTGATTGTTATGCGACCAAGACAGGGTCGGTGCTGCAATCGCGATCGCGCGACAAGTGAACTTCACGCTCTGTCCTTCGTAGGCGAACGCGCTCTGCGGCTTGATGACAAATCTAGGCGCTGCTTGTCGGCGATCTGCAAAAGTATAATTAATTTAAGCGTTGCACATTAGCGAAATTTTAATTATTTTCTGTATTCATCAAGTAGGTCATTATTTTTATAAATGGAAACATGCAGGATTGATATTTCCTGCATTTTTTATAATATAGATATCTTTTTTTTAATTGAATATCCGGCCCTTACATAGTACAAACTATATAGCCATAGTATTAACATACAATCGCTTGCATACAATCATTAAAATTTGTATATAGTTTAAAATTGAAATGTTGCGCAATTCAATTGTCTCCGAAATATTTCATTGCAACGCGATATTTTCAGAAAAGAGTTTAATACGCTGCATTTGTTATAATTACGAAGTGACAAAAAAATCTACTTACAGAACATAAGCCAGTACACCGCCAGGCCCACATATCGGTATAAAAGCCTACCGGCTCGCGTTCGACAATCTCGGGGGCAGCAAACTCGGCGGTACCTGTACTGATCTTCACTACTTCGTTCGGATGGAGTTTGGTAGCCAGACCGAAATCGATCAGTTTCACATTCGTACTGTTGCGAGTTTGGCACATGATGTTCTCAGGTCTGATGTCTGGAAATATTGTAATTGCAAATTACACGATTAAAATAATACGTTCAACTCTGTACTCGAGTTAGCTGTGCTCATATAATACTTATACATAAACGGGATCAAAAATTAAAAATATAATTTAAGTATAAAAGTTAAAAGCGGGTATAAATCTAAAATAGATAAAACTTTTCGCAGCTGCAAATCTAAATTCACAACCAACAATCAGATTAACGGAGTTTTGTTTATTTAATATAATAATAATAATAAATTCTTAAATGCAAATTTTTGAAGAAGCATTTCAATTTTCGAAATTTTATAAGAACATCGCTTTGAAGAATATCTTGATAAATTGCGCTATATTTTATTGGAAATAAATGATCATAAACTAATAGATAATTTATTTTTAACTAAGAATGTATTGTTAACTTTTTAAAAGAATCGTTTTTCAAATGTATAATAGGCTTAAATTTTTATATTAAAGTTCAAATTGACAAATAATTAAAATATGTACTTCCATAATATGTGTCGCAAGAAAGTCGTTAAAATATGAGTCTTACCTAGGTGAATGATATTCTTCTCGTGCATATGCTTCACGCCCTCGCAGATCTGCCTCATGTAATTGCTTCCGCCTCGGACATGCGGTGTAACCCTCAGCCGTGATGCTGTGATGCAACAGAAAGAATCGTGTTCATATTTTCATATATGAATTTCTTTACCAGTAATAAATCGAACGTTTAAAATTGATCGATTTGTTCTCACGACGATCCATCTGTTTACTCTGCAGCACATGATCCCTGATTGCAGCTTGAACGCATCTACTGTGGAGTGGATCTCCTCTCTCTACTGCAACCGAGTTTGCAGCACATGATCCTTGATCACAGACTTCATATTTTTTATTCGACCGAGGAAGTTGAAATTCTTAACATTGAGATGTTGTGCACGATTAATCAGATACGGGAAGTCAACATTGTTTATATTACATCCCGTGTCAGCCCATTTCTTGCAAAAGAAAAATTCACTGGCACTACTGACAGGAACTGATGCGCATTCAGAGTGCACATTAAAGCCGTCGTGCACAAACCAACGTATATATATATAAAGTATATGTTTAATATAAACGGATTAAATCATGAAATCCTCAATATTCTTTATTGCACTATTTGGTAAAATATATACTGGGTATTTTATCAGTCGAAATATTTGCAGGCTTATAATGTGCACTGTGGTGCACTGAACACTGAGTGCGCACTCACACCAGTTCTGTCAGTGAAAAACTGAAAAACGCAATTGGCTGCGTTCGGAAACGTCACCCGGATATACACGGGTATACTCCCTTCTCCTTCTAACTCGCTGAGATAGAAAGAGAAGGGAGTATACTCGTGTACACTCGGGTAATGTTTTCGAACGCAGCCATGATGGCATGCAGCCGATGCGTGGCGCGCGTTGCGGCCGTATGATATTGGGAATGGCTAAACTGCGATACGCTATCTGGTGGCAAAAACAGAACTAAAAAGAGTAGGTCGCCGGCTGCCACATAAATAAATCGAATTGCGGCATGAAGGCGTCGAATTGGTAAAATTGCATATTTCACTTATGGGCAGTCTCATTTTAATTACTGAAATTTATAAATAAGCACATACGTCGTATTGTATTGTGACAAGTGACCTACTCTCTCCGGCCATTTTGCCTTGGTGACGTCACGACCGCCAATCCCAATATATGATGGCTGCGGCGGCTGCGCGCTTGTGTTGTGGTAGTGTTATATATATCTCGATTGTTAGCATGAAATTAACCTAATTTCTGTCAACTTTATATACTTAACGTTTAATATCGAGGTAGAGCGTTACTTTTTTCTGCCAGATTCTTTTGTTTCGTGCAAAAACGCGTCGATTGAGCATAATAATTGATCATCGATACTTGAGCATCATCGATATTTGAGGTAAGGCCTTCAAGCTCTAAACTAAAGAATTACCATTACATTTACATACAATAAAAATGAAGTTCGCGAATTGATTCAAATGTTATAAATTAGTGCAAAACAAAAGGAAACAAAGTCTTCGTCACGTTCAACTTTTTCTACAGTAATTTGTTTGTGCGGAGTGAATCAAGAGTGTGGGATGGTGATCGTGACCGCATAAACAAATTATTATGGAAAAACGTGGTGAATACTTTGTTTTCTTTACTTTGTTTAATTTGTTTATAGCATTTGAATCAATTCGCGAACTTCATGCAGAAAACAGCAGAGAAATTAAGTCCAAAAAAATTTATTTTTTTGTTTTTTTCTTAATTCATATTTATTTATATAAAATGACTTAACATAAGTACTTTTATTGTTTTAGAGTATGTAAATGGGTTGATCTTGACAACGCCACGCCTACTGATGTGGGAATAACACTTCCCACATCTCTCACTGCGTAAGCAGCGTTCTCTGCGCACGCAGCATCCGGGTCAGCGTCCGCCTTCTAGAGGGAGGAGCATTATCACCCATTGCTGGACCATTTTGCTGTAGTCACACACTCAGTGAACAAATAAAGAACCGTTTTTGGCATTTTTAGCGCCGAAGAAGCTCAAATTTAGGTAATCATTCATTTCACTATTGAACTTTTTCATCTCACTTTTGTGTCCTCATTATATTTCCAGTTATTAACAACTTTTTACAATACAAAGTTAATTTCCTGTTTAAACATATACAATTTATAGTCTATATTACTTATTAATAATTTGCTTTTATGCACACAGGGACTTGAACAAGAAAATACATCTGCAAAATGGAGCAGGGCTCCTCCGCCACCTTTGAATTTACAAGTTGACACATTCACATTCCAGCAAATTGAAATTGACCATTATAGGTAATAATATTATATAAACATATTATTTAAAACATATTTCAAATATGTGTTAAAAGTATAAGCTGACCAGCTGGAGCTTTCTCCGGCATTTCTTGTATGGTGAGCGTCTGATGATCCTTGTAGGTTGACAGACCGAATTATGTTTCAAGCGGATTGCCATCTTCATCAGTAGTCGGATAAATAGCAGAGTGGGTATGTAGGTAAACCCCTTCCGGGAATGCCAGGCAGTAAGGTAGGACCTGTATCAATAATGAGGATGTTTGAGGTTAGGGAATCTGATGTGATCAAGGATCATGTGCTGCAGAGTAAACAAATGGATCGTCGTGAGAACAAATCGATCAATTTTGAAGGAAGAGTTCCGTTCGATTTATTACTGGTAAAGAAATTCATATATGAACACGATTCTTTCTGTTGTATCACAGGTTTAATAAAAATGTGTACTTTCTAGGTATTAGTCCGAGATTATAAACTGAGATCTTACACTCTAAACGCGGTATCATATCATTTCCTTCAAGAATAAAAAGAAGATGTCCAGCATAAGGATATTACGGGATTACAAAACGGAAATACACAGACTCGCGGTTTCTCAACTTCTACGTAAGGTAATAACACAATTAAAGAAAGAAATGATTGTCTTGATATTGATGATTAATTATTTCTGTTAATGTTGTCAGACCAGGGAAAAGGATTACTTGCTGCCAACGCATCAGGGCCACGGTACTGATGAGCAATTCGAAGGAACGAGAGTTGAAAGTGTCGGCAAATTCCGTGTATGGTTTCACGGGTGCGCAGATGGGAAAATTACCTTGGAAATATCTGCTGGATTTGAATTCGGTTCTCTGGCTCACTAGACCAGCGCACATCTCTCTGCGCCACGATCGCCACTGGAAATATCTGCTGTAAGTTATCGATATTCTTCGAAACATATTTAACAAAAGGAGCATTGCGAAATATTTAATGGAAAATATAGAATATTTATAATAATTATAATTGCAGAGCGTTACCGCTTATGGACGCACTATGATAGGACTAACAAAGCAAGCAGTGGAGGATCGCTTTCGAGTAGAAAAACGATGCGACAGTCATATACGGCGGCACGGATTCCGTGATGATAAAGTTTGGCGTAAAATCTATAGAAGATGCAATATATGGAACTCGGTAGAGAGGCGGCCGATTACGTGACGTCTAAATTCATCAAGCCATAAATCTGGAGTTTGAGAAAGTGTATTTTCCGTATCTCTTAGGCCCGGTTTCACCAATGTGATTTAATCGACCGATTAGATTAAATCACGTTGGTGAAACCGGGCCTTAATCAACAAGAAACGTTATGCTGGCCTGTATTTTACGAAAGTAAATACAGAATACTGAAGTGACTGAAGTATTCGATACGCACGAATTTACTTTTAATCTAACAATTAAGGTACTTAATTACTTCACGAGTTGACTGCGCTCGGTCAACCACGATTTTCTAATTTTATAATTGCTCGAAACACTGTGTAACAGATCGACTTATATTTTTTCATTTAAATAAAAATAATTTTATTTTTCGGTACTAACTACTTTATTTTGATTTATTTCTGAATGGATTATTAGGTTTATTCTTTTAAATTACTTGGGAATTGTTGAGTAGTAAGTATTCGTCGTAAGTATGATCAGAGAGAAATTTCTATCTTTAAAGATAAGAGTGGTCATGCTCGCGTTTTGGCCGTACCCGAATCCTGTCGGTATGTACACGTTTTTGTGGTTCTCTTCCGTGCTATGTCCACTATTTTGTAGTAATGTCAACGATTTTGGGGTTCTCTTTCATGTTATGTTCACGATTTTTTGGTTCTCTTCCGTTAGATTCACGATTTTTTTGGTTTTATTTCCAAAGAAAATAAAAAAATCGTGGACATAGCACGGAAGAGAACCACAAAAACGTGCGTATACCGACAGGATTCGGGTACAGCCATAACGCGGGCATGACCACTCTAACCACTCTCATATCTTTCTCTCTGGTATGATCTTATTTTACTTTTTATTATTATACTTATTATTTTATTATTACACTTTTATTATTATCATATATGATGACTTTAAGTATAATAATACTAAAAAAGTAAGATCTCTGTTATATGATCATATCATTGGCTGCGTTTAGCAGACAAAGTTTATTGTTAAGCGATTCTTTATTACGATTGGTTTCTACGCTTAGATCTAACGAGGAACTAAAAGTAAGAACCAATCATATTAAAGAATCACAAGCTGCTTTATCTGCTTGGCTGGATGGAATCTTAAAATCATTCCGATCGTTTTAACTGTTTTGAATACAATATTAGGGCATTTTAAGGCCCTTGCGCAATGCCGGGCAACAGGCAATAGGAACACAAAATGTCATAGGATACGTCATATTTTCTGGGCCCGGATTCTCTAACGAGAAACGTATACGCAAACTCTGCTCTAA